TTTAAAAAGATTCCCAGCTGATTCTAATGTGCAGCCAAAGTTGAGAACCACTGCTCTAAATGAAACACTGGATCAGATGGATTTAATTGACATTTATAGAACATTTTACCCGAAAGCAGTAGAATATACATTCTTCTCAAGTTCACATGGCTCATTCTCAAAGATAGAGCACATGTTAGGACACAAAACAAATCTCTACAAGTTCAAGAAGATTAACATCATTTCAAGCATGTTCTCAAATCACAGTAAAATGAAATTAGAAATCAAATACAGTAAAAACGCTCAAAAATATTCAAACACATGGAGGCTAAATAGCATGTTATTAAACAATGAATGGGTTACCAATGAGATCAAGAAAAAAATCAAGAACTTACTGGAAACTAATGAAAATGAACACAGAACAACCCAATATCTTTGGAACACAGAAAAAAACAGTACTAAAAGGTAAGTTCATAGCACTACAGGCCTACCTCAAAAAAAAAAAAAGAAAAGAAAAATTAATAATAAACTATTTAACCCTACAACATAAAGAATTAGGAAGAGAACAACAAGAAAAGCCCAGAGTAAGTAGAAGGAAGAAAATAATAAAAATTAGAGCAGAAATAACTGACACAGATGATAAAAAAAAATACAAAAAAAAAAAAATCAATGAAACCAAGAGTTGGTTCTTTAAAAGATAAACAAGACTGATGAACCATTAGCCAGACTCATAAAGAAACAAAGAGAGAGGACCCAAATAAATAAAATCAGAAATGAAAGAGGTGAAATAACAACAGACCCCACAGAAATACAAATGATTGTTAAAAAATACTATGAACAACTCTATTCTAACAAACTAGACAACATGGAGGAAATGGACATATTACTAGAAAAACACAACCTTTCAAAACTCAATCAGAAAGAATCTAAAAATCTCAACAGGACGATAACTATGGAAGAAATTGAAGCAGTCATCAAAAAGCTTCCAGCAAACAAAAGCCCGGGGCCAGACAGCTTCACAGGGGAGTTTTACCAAACATTCAAGGAAGAACTAAATCCTATCCTCCGCAGACTATTCCAAAAAATTCAAGAGGAAGGAACACTTCCAAGCTCATTCTATGAAGCCAGCATCACCCTCATACCGAAACCAGATGAAGACAACACAATGAAAGAGAATTACAGGCCAATATCCCTCATGAACATAGATGCCAAAATCTTCAACAAAATTCTAACAAATCGGATCCAGCAGTACATCAAAAAGACAATGCACCATCACCAGGTAGGATTTATCCCAGGGATGCAAGGATGGTACAATATCCGCAAAAACGTGATACATCACAAAACAAATTGAGAGATAAAAACCACATAGTCAAATCAATTGATGCAGAAAAGGCATTTGACAAAATCCAACACCCTTTCTTGATAAAAACTCTCAGCAAGGTGGGAATAGAAGGATTATACCTTAACATAATAAAAGCCATATATGACAAACCCACAGCCAACATCATACTCAATGGACAAAAATTAAAACCATTTCCCCTAAGAACAGGAACAAGACAGGGATGCCCACTCCCACCACTCCTGTTCGACATAGTACTGGAAGTACTAGCCATTGCAATTAGACAAGAAGAAGAAATAAAAGGCATCCAGATTGGAAAAGAAGAAGTAAAACTATCCTTATTCGCAGATGGCATGATACTGTACATAGAAAACCCTAAAGACTACATCAAAAAATTATTAGACTTAATATATGAATTTGGCAATGTAGCAGGATACAAAATTAACGCCATGGAATGTATGGCATTTCTATACACCAATAGTGAACTGACAGAAAGAGATACTAAAAAAGTAATCCCATTTACCATCACACCAAAAAAATTAAGATACCTAGGAATAAACTTAACTAAGGAGGTAAAAGACCTGTACTTCGAAAACTACAGGACACTGAAAAAAGAGATAGGACATAAACAGATATAAGAACATACCATGTTCATGGATTGGTAGAATCAACATCATTAAAATGTCCATACTACCCAAAGCAATCTATACATTCAATGCACTACCCATTAAAATACCAATGGCATATTTTACAGATCTAGAACGAACTCTCCAAAAATTCATCTGGAATTAAAAAAAAAAAAAAGACCCCGAATAGCTGTAGCAATCCTGAGAAAGAAGATCAAAGTAGGTGGGATCTCAATACCAGATATCAAGCTGTATTACAAAGCCACTGTTCTCAAAACAGCCTGGTACTGGCACAAGAACAAACATATAGATCAATGGAATAGAATAGAGAACCCAGAAATTGACCCAAACCACTATGCTCAATTAATATTTGACAAAGGAGGCATGAACATACAATGGTGTCAAGACAGTCTCTTCAATAAATGGTATTGGGAAAATTGGACAGATACATGCAAAAAAAAAAGAGAAAGAAACTAGATCACCAACTTACACCATACACAAAAATAAACACAAAATGGATAAAGGACTTAAACATAAGACAGGAAACCATAAAAATACTAGAGGAATCCACAGGCAGCAAAATCTCAGACATATGTCGAAGCAATTTCTTCACTGATACAGCTCCTAGGGCAGGGGTCCTCAAACTTTTTAAACAGGGGTTCAGTTCACTGTCCCTCAGACCGTTTGAGGGCCGAACTATTTTTAAAAAAAGCTATGAACAAATTCCTATGCACACTGCACATATCTTATTTTGAAGTAAAAAAACAAAACGGGAACAAATACAATATTTGTATTTGCATGTGGCCCGTAGTTTGAGGACCCCTGTCCTAGGGCAATGGAAACTAAAGAGAAAATACACAAATGGGACTACATCAAAATAAAAAGCTTCTGCACAGCAAAAGAAACCATCAACAAAACAACAAGAAAGCCCACTGCATGGGAGAACATATTTGCAAATGTTATCACTGATAAGGCCTTAATCTCCAACATTTACAACTTAACAAAAGGAAGATAAACAACCCAATCAAAAAATGGGCCACAGACCTAAATAGGTACTTTTCGAAAGAAGACATATGGAAGGCCAAGAGACATATGAAAACATGCTCAAAGTCACTAATCATCCGAGAGATGCAAATCAAAATGACAATGAGGTACCATCTCACACCTGTCAGAATTGCTGTCATCAACAAATCAACAAATGACAAGTGCTGGCGAGGATGTGGAGAAAAAGGAATCCTCGTGACTGCTGGTGAAAATGCAGACTGGTGCAGCCACTGTGGAGAACAGTATGGGGTTTCCTCATAAAACTAAAAATGGAACTCCCATTTGACCCAGTGATCCCACTTCTAGGAATATATCCCAAGAAACTAGAAACACCAATCAGAAAGGATATATGCACCTCTATGTACATAGCGACACAATTCACCATAGCTAAGATTTGGAAACAGCCTAAGTGTCCATCAGCAGATGAGTGGATTAAAAAACTGTGGTACATCTACACAATGGAATACTATGCTGGGGTAAAAAAAGAAGGAATTCTTACCATTTGCAACAGCATGGATGAAACTGGAGAGCATTATGCTAAGCGAAATAAGCCAGTCAGAGAAAGATAAAATATCACATGATGTCACTTGTTTGTGGAATATAATGAACATAAACTGATGAACAAAAACAGATCCAGAGACAGAGAAGCATCAATCAGACCGTCAAACCTCAAAGGGAAGGTAGGGGAGGGTGGGGGTAAGGGGGAGAGATCAACCAAAGGACTTGTATGCATGCATATAAGCCTAACCAATGGACACAGACAACAGGGGGTTGAGGGCATGAGTGGGGAGTGGGGCGGCAATGGGGCGATAAGGACACATATGTAATACCTTAATTAATAAAGAAAAAATATATTTTTAATAAATAAATAGTGCCCAGCAAATCATCAAGTCCACATGGGTGTTTATTTAATAAATAGTTTTTGCAACAAAAAAAACAACAAAAAAAACCACCTAAAAATAAACAATTCCCCTATCTAATAAGGGTTATCTTCCTAAATTAAATGTAGCCCAACCAGTGTGGCTCAGTGGTTGAGCAGCGTCCCATGAGGTCACAGATGGATTCCTAGTCAGTCAAGGCACATGCTCACGTCGCAGACTCAATCCCCAGAAGGGGCAAGCAGGAGACAGCCAATCAATGATTCTCTCTCATCATTGATGTTTCTATCCCTTCCATTCTCTGAAATTAATAAAACCATATATTGTTTTTTAAATTAAAGTGTAGAAATGTGCTGAGGGGCAAAAGAAGAGAAAGCAATGGACTGACTTAGAAGTCATTTTATAAATGTACATTACAGTTTCTGTGCCTTTGGGCAAATCATGTAACCCTCCTGAGCTTCAGTTCTTCAGTTACAGAAAGGAGATAATAGATGCCCTATATACCTCAGAGTCAATGTAGCCATCAAATGAGACCATACAGAAAAAAGTGCTTTGTATATTACTAGTATGATATAAATGTAAAGGAATATTAGTCATTAGATATTTAACTCTTGACCATATATATTTCAATTATTTAAAGTAAAAACAAAATTAGCCCTAGCTGGTTTGGTTCAGTGGACAGAGCATCGGCCTGGGGACTGAAGGTTCTTCAGTTTGATTTCGGTCAAGGGCACATGCTGTGGTTGTGGGCCAGATCCCCAGTAGGGGGCAGTCTCTCTCTCCCTCTCCCTTCCTCTCTGAAATCAATAAAAATATATAGTAAAAAAAAATTAAATGCACATATCACCATGTAATTTTTATTTTCTAGGTTAATACCATAAATACATCACATTTTTTTAAAATATATTTTATTGATTTTTTTACAGTGAGGAAGGAAGAGGGATAGAGAGTTAGAAACATTGATCAGCTGCCTCCTGCAACCCCCCACTGGGGATATGCCCGCAACCAAGGTACATGCCCTTGACCGGAATCAACCCGGGACCCCCCAGCCCGCAGGCCGATGCTCTATCCACTGAGCCAAACCAGTCAGGGTAATACATCACATTTTAACTTAACGTCTAAAGTTATACTCACTACTCCGGTGTAATAGCGTAGTCCAACAACATGGCCTCTCAAAGTTCCAAATAAAACTGAATCTAACTCTTCATCACTAGTTAGGAAGTCGTCTGGAGGGATAATATCTTGGAATTCAAAACGGGGAAAGAAAGTTGGATATGAGAGGCGTGAAAAATTTCCATGGACTCCGCCATATTGGACAGTCTGCAAGTACTTCCAAACAGGATCTCTATTTAAAAAAAAAAAAAGGCAGGGGAAAAAATTTAAATCAAGTATTTTTCAAAGACCATACCATATTCATAGGCCAATTGTTTTCTCACACTTTATTTCAACAAATTAATTCTTATGTGGGAACTTCTGTATAAGATTAAGAAAGTGTTACTCTAGTTAAAGCAGGATTTGAGTGAGTGGGGGAGGTTTCTTCTACCCACAGATATTCAAAATGAAAAACCCAATAAGGGTTCACAAATCTTTTTCCTAGTGATTATCTATTTAAATTGAAATGTATGTGATGTCTGTAACTTTATATGCCAAAATTTCAATGGAGATTGAGCTAGAAGAGACTTGCAAATATGGAACTATTATTATATGTGAAGCAGTTTACATAATTACAGATAACACATTCAGCATCCATTACTTTAATTCCTTCCTTATCTTATTCAGGTATTCAAACCATGCCAACATCAGAGGATGACTGACCCAAAGCCTCCCACTCTCGTTGGTTTAAGGGGAACTGTAATCTCCTTATAAATAACTGTTTCAGGAACGCGAATGTAAACCAATTTGGATACTGAAAAGTAAGGGGGAAGTCAGCTGGGGGGCTTCCAGGATGTTTCCACTCTCCTAAGACCAGATGGAAGGTACTTCCCCTGCGTTTTCCTTGCAGGTCGTGCAAACCTCTTTTGGCTCCTCTGCAAATATATATTTGCACGTCAGTGTATGCACATAAACTGTGAGCTACTTAGGGTCAAGGGCTGTCCTACTTGGCCCTTTATTCCGAGCACAATGCCTAATGCACAGTGGGTTGCTAATGGGTGTTTCGCTGAATAAAGCACAGTAGAGATCCCCGCTAAGGATTGGAGCTTTGAGCCCCAGACCCCTCCCACTCCCCACAGCCCTGGACGCAGATTTTTCCAAGGCCCTGGCACCAGACTCGCCTGAGGAGCCTCCCCTCACCAACCAAGATTACGCGTTTACTTCTCCCGAAGATATATGAGCCACCAGCAAAACGAATACATGCGCCCAAATCGCGAGGGAACCGCGAAAGGAACGCGGGGAAGGTCAGGTTCATTTGGGGACACCACCAGGCCGTTACCTCCCTGCGTCCCACTCCCTCCATCCCTTCACCTCTTGAACATCCAGGACATGGCGCAGGGTAGGTGACGAAGGTGACGCTTGGGCGCCCGCGGTCGTTCTCGAGCCGCCTGGATACACCTCTTTGCGGGGCCTGCAGCCAGAAGCCGCCCACACTTCCCGAGCGCCCGAGGAAGGGCGCTCTGCGGAGAGCTAAGTTGCCGCGAGTCTGCTCAGACGTCGAGCCGTCTCCTCCCAACAACAACCTGGGAAACCGCCGAGGCTTTGTGACTGGCACTGGGAACACTCAATCACGAGGCGGGGCCTACGAAGGCGAACCAATCAGTACGGAAGGGAGGGCAACTCCGCCCAGCTCACGGATTCAAAGGCCGTGGGCGGGGTCCCGGCTTCAGGGGGAGTTCATCCGGGTTCTTCCCAACCCGAGGCGGGTGCGCGGGAAAGTCCAGCAACCCCACCTGTCCGAGTGCGGTGCCCGCGGTTCTCTGGACTCCCTGCCTGAAACAGAGGGAGACCACGCTCCTTTTCGCTGTGTTCCCCAAGTCCTAAGCCTCAGCCCCATTCCTCAGGCCTCGCCTCATCCTGCTTCTAACTTCCTCAGCATATTATCTATAGTAACTCAGGCGTAATATGGTGATTAGACCGGACGTCCTTCCCAACGAAGCCGGGGCTGCGAGGGAAGCCCGTCGGGGTGCCTGCCGGCGGCCGGAGGGAAGCCCGGGTCGGGTGCCAGAGGGAAGCCAGTGCTGGCAGCGGGGGAAGGAAGGCCTGCTCTCGCAGGAGTTGCCTGCATCGGGCCTCTGGTCTATAATAGGGTTTTCCCCTGAATAAACTCGGCGATTTATGAGCGGTGGGGGTACCAGCCAGATAATTTCACTTCCTGCGGTTAACCCTGTGTAGTTGCCTTCAAAATACTCATTTTAAACCCGTGGGCTAAACTTTGAGACACACTCAGTTCAGAAGAGCTTCGCTGGAGTTTGGATTTACGGAGTACCCCCTCCATCTCTTTTTTTTTTTTTAAGGAATATTTTCATTTCCAGTAGAGGAAAACCATAAAATGCGGTGATTGCTGAAAGTGATGGGCTAGCGATCAGTTGCCCGTGAGGGTGGAGGCTGCCCTGGCAAGCCCCGAGGAAGCGTGTTTTCCCCGGCTGCCGGCCTCTGAGAGTCTGACTAGTCTCAGAGAACTGTGGGCTTGGGGGGCACTGAGTCAGCAGGCCTTTTACCTGGTGCGGCAGCAGCACCGGGCTGGCAGCTTGACCTGCTCGAGGGCTCCAGGTAACTGTCAGAATTGCAGGATCAAAGAGGAAATGCATTTGTGAATGTGGATCAATATTGACACTTGCCCCTCATAGAGTGATACATTTTACACTTCCCTCAGCAGAGCGTGAGAGGTGGTCTATGAAACAGTTTTTCAAGAGGCATTGTTCATTATCTTAAACTACCACGATCTGTAAACATGAACCAGCAATGGAATGAGAAATCAAATTTGCAGCAATTTATTACTTCATTTTACTAAACAGTAGGAAGATGAAGACAGTGGCATTTCAAATTATTTTCATTACTTTCTTCTGGAAGTATTATGAGGCAAATGGCAATATAGTTCAATTTTTTGGCTCTAAGTTCTTGAAAAATATGCCAGAAAATGCCCTGATTGGAAATGTTCTGTGTGTAAAGTTAATGAAGAAGCCATGTTCATTAGACTAAAACATAAAATTCCAAATGTAAAACTACAAAACTTGAGACCTATGTGTAATGACTGTCCCATCATTAAAGAACCCAGATTGAATGACATAAAAATGTACTATTTAATGTCGACATTTTTGTCCATCTGGTCACTATTTTATATCTCAGATCTAGCTGCTGAACTTGAACACTTTTTCCTTTAATCATTCTTTTTTATTTATAAATGAAGTTCAGTTTGTACTAGTTTGGTTAAAATGTTACAATAGAACTATCACATCAGTAGATTATGTATTCAGCAAAATGAACATTTGTAACTGAAAAAAAGAATGGAAACTATAGAGTGACCTGTGTTGGATTGTTGTGTAAGGTGGAGAATGGCACCAAGAGGATGGTGAGGAAGATAATGGTCAGATTACATAGAAATTCATGGTCTATGGTAGAGTTTGTATTTCATTTTAAATGCAGTAGAAAGCCATTGAATGTTTTAAGCAGGGCAATGACAATCTGAATTAGCTTTAAAAAGTCACTCTGGCAGCTCTGGAGAATGTATTATGGGAACAGGAACGAAGGCAGAAAGACTGGTTAGTTGATAATTAGGAAACAATTGTATCCAAATAAGAGATGATGGTGGTTTGGAATGGGGAGGTGATGAAATTTAGAGAACCAACAGAGTTTACTAGTGGATTTCAATGTGGGTGCTGATGGTGGGGAAGGAATAAAAATCTTCAAGCCACCCACCTCCCAGTCTCAAACATTTTTTCTCATACTCCCCCACTTTTTGCAAATTAATCATGTCACTCCCTGCTTGATGCTGTGAGCATGAAATCAAAGAATTGTATGTGTGGCTCTTTATAATATGTCCCCTACCTCCCATTCCTGTCACTTCCCAACCCACTCTGCCTAAAATGGTCTTCACTAACTTCTCTAAAAATTATATTTTCATATGTAACCACAAGGCCATTTTCAAACCCAACAAGATTAATAAATCAATCCTTGGTATCTTCTAATAACTAGTTCATAATCAAATTTTCAGTTGTCTCAAAAAGAGTTCTTTTATAATTTGTTAACAAAATAGAATTTTGAAGACCTTGGCAAAAATCAATCAATCAAAAAAGCAAAAAACTTTAAGAATCTGTATTTCTAAGAGTCTGCCTTCAATACAAAAACCTCTATGTTTTTGTCATAACTAATAGATTCTGGGAGACTATGTGATACTATAAAAGCTTGTTTGTTTGTTTGCTTTCCTCACTCCAAAGGAGATAGAGACAAAGTTGGAAGGAGAATTTTCACAGAGTACATCTGTAAGTGGGTCTTATGGATAGGGTCTGGAATGCCAATACTTTGAGCCAAGAGTCAGTCAGTCACAAAGGAGGTATGATAGACAGTCTAACAAAGTTTCTGGAGATCCCATAAGAAAAGGAAGCTGTGTCTCATTTTTCAGAGAGTAGCCTCAAAATTCTGCAGATCTTAGAAAGAGAGCCCCAGAGACCAGAAATGTGTTAGGGCAGTAAAGGAGTAAAGGCTAATGAGATGGCCCTGTTAAGGGATCCAAGGGTAGCCTTTCAAAATCCTAAAAAAGTCCCCGTGAGCCTGCAGCCCTGTGAAGGCTGGAGGCTTTCAATAGTTCATGGTTCTAGTGAACAGAAGCAAGGAGGCTGGTGCCACAAAGTTGAAAAGAAGCCCCCTAAAGGGTAAGAAAAAGGAGACTGAATTTGACTTGAAATCTTAAAAGGACTGAAGTACCTGGAAGTGGCTATATTAAGTTTCCTCTCCTTAGGCAAATTAAAGGTTTAAGACAAATTAAGTTCAACTAATATAAAGTTCTATCTTTGCAAATGGAATCACTGATTGAAATTAATACATACTATATATCCATATACACATACATCTCAATAAATTTAGACCTAGATATTTATAGCAGATACCTCTACTCGGCTGAATTAGGGAATTTTCATTTTATTCTTTCTGCTTGTATGCATGTAAAATGATCTCTATATTGCACATGTAGTGCTTTTTGCTATAATAAAATAAAAGATATAAATTGTAGTAAAGAAATTATGAAGATTTTTTCAACTTTGTTTTTAATTAATTTTAGACTAACAGAAAACTTGCAAAAGTCGTGTAAAAAGTACCATCATTTTTTTACCCCAATTATTTTAACACCATTCATAATCACATTATAATTATATCAGGAAATTAATATTGGTATAATCTTATTTATGAACCACTTTAAAAAAAATAATCAAAGAAGACAAGGCAGGCACAGAACCTAGAAACAGAACTTAGCGAGAGAACCTGGCTGAAGAACCTAGAGACAGAACCTAAACACAGAACCTAGAAACAGAACTTAGCGAGAGAACCTGGCTGAAGAACCTAGAGAGAGAACCTAGGGAGAGAACATGGCAAAAGATCCTGGACAGAACCTGGCTATAGAACCTGGCTGGAGAACCTAGACAGAACATGGCAGGAGATCCTGGATAGAACCTGGCGACAGAACCTGACTGGAGATCCGGGCTAGAACCTGGCAAGAGAACCTAGACAGAACTTGGCTGGAGATCCTGGAGGGAGAACCTCGCTATGCTGATCAACTGAACGCTGACCCCGTGCCATTCCTTCTTCGCAGACTCCGTCCACACCTTTGGGGACCCCTGGACCTGCTGGGGTTGGACCCCAGCATGAAGCTTTTATTCTGACCAATCCACAAAGGACTAATGCCATCAGCATTTAGCACTAAGCTTCCATCAACTCTGCACATCCCCAGAAAGCAGTGTACACATTTATTTATCCTTGGGTATGTTTACTACTTGGATCATTATCTTTTTTTTAATTGCCATTCTGTTCTCTTTGTCCTTACGTATGTTTTGTTTTGTTTTTTATCCTCACCCGAGGATATTTTTCCATTTATTTTTAGAGAGAGTGGAAGAGAGAGGGAAAGACAGAGAGAAATATTGATGTGAGAGAAACACATCTATTGGTTGCCTCCTGCACACGCCCTGACCCAAGGGAGGAACCTGCGTGCCCTTGACAGGAATTGAACCTGGGACCCTTCGGTCCACAGGCTGACCCTCTATCTACTGAGCCAATCTGGCTAGGGCTATGTATGTTTCAATGCATCTCCACTCTCTGCTTTAGAGAGAGAGCTCTAAAAAGAGTTTCAGCCAACAGTACTCTGAACCCATGAACTCCCAGCATAGACGGTTCAGTGATAATGGTGAGGTCAAAATGCCATCAATTCAACTAGTGCATTCTCTCTCTTTTTGTGCTAATTTTTTCCTTTTAATCTTTATTGTTGAAAGTATTACATATGTCCCCTTTCCCGCCAGCTCACCCCTGCCCCCTACCCTTCTCTCTGTCTTAAAAAAAAAAAAATCAGCTTTATTGAGGTATAATTGATGTATAAAACTATAAGAGAAAAAAAAAAAGAAGACAAGGCAAAGGAAATAATAGAAAATAAAATCTTGCCAGGCCAGTGTTGCTCAGTGGTTGAGCCTCGACCTATGAACCAGAAGGTCCCAGTTCGATTCCAGGTCAGAGCATACTCCTGGATTTTGGGCTCGAGCCCCAGTAGGGGGCATGCAGGAGGCA